GTTTAAAAATATATTACACGGATGGTGACATTATATTTACAYGCAAAGCATTCTGGGTAAATGACGACGTGGATAGGTCCTCGGTGCGAGGCTGCTAGCGAGCTATATCCACCCTGAAGGTTAATCTTGGACAATATCTGATGATCGACTCTTTTAAATGAAACCAGAGAGCGTTGACAGAGAGGAGAAGGAATGACTCAGCCTGTAACTGAAAATATGGATGGAGGACAACAGAGCTGCTTCATGGAAGAAGAACCTCAGCTTAGCCTGTTAGCTTTAGTGTTAGCCCCGACGCTATCACCATATATATGTATTAGCTCAGCGCTACACATTCTCCTCTCGTCACTGAGGTCCTCCATCTACATGACAGAGAGGGGAACCCAAAAATGACTCAGGCTGCAACTGAAAATATGGATRGAGGACCTCAGTTTAGCTTGTTTGTCGTGCTAACTCCAAGCTAATGCCTTTGAGGCAATATGGCGTCAGCTCCTCATCGACTCCCGCCGCCTCCCTTGGCCCCACATCTGGTCCTGTTCCCACCAGGCCTCCTGTTCCAGTTGGGTCCCATGTTGAAGGCTTTCCTGGCTGCCCATCAGAACTTTTGTGTTGTGGATGGTCCTTGGGTCTTCCCCCTGATTCTTTGTGTTTTGTCTTTGTGTCTGTCTGATCATGTGTCTCCCTTTGTCCTGTGACTCTCCTTGTTCCTGCTAGGCCTCACTTTGGATGGTCTCCTGGCCATACTCTGGATCTCCTGCTCCATGTTGCGTGGTCTTCGGGCTGTCCCCCTGAACCCTGTGTGTTTTGTCCTTGAGTTCCCTTGTGGTGTTGTTTCTGTCCCGTGCCTCTCCTTTTTTGACGTCGGGAGCCATCGTTAAGGGGGAGGTACTGTCATAGGGGCGGCTGTGGTGGAGTGGTTAGGGGAGTCGACCTGGAACCGGAAGGTCACCGGTTCGATCCCTGTCCAGTCGACTCAGTCGTTGTGTCCTTGGGCAAGACACCTTACCCGCCTTGCCTACTGGTGGTGGTCAGAGGGTCCGGTGGTGCCTGTGTATGGCAGCCTTGCCTCTGTCAGTGTGCCCCAGGGCAGCTGTGGCTACAATTGTAGTTTGCCATTGTCAGTGTGTGAATGTGTGTGTGCATGGGTGAATTTCTGTAGTGTGAAGCGCTTTGAGGGTCCTGGATGGATAGAAAGGTGCTATATACAGTAAGTACAGTCCATTTACCATAGTCTGTGTTTTTATGCTTTGGTATTTTCTAAGTGTTTCAGTGTTTCCCTGTGAATTTCTGCCCAGCAGCCCCACCCATGCTCACCTGTTTCCCCTTGTGTCTCCTCCAGGTGTTACTCGTTTGTCCTCATTAGTCTGTACTGCTTCTAAAAACAGTCCAAGCACCAAAAAAATGCACTCAGGTGTTTTTACTATAATTTAATGTATTTTTCTGAGTTTTGAAATGACCTGCTTTCAAACACCACCATTTGTGATGTAACAAGTTGCACTCCAGCCCACCCCAACTTGAGCCCATCCCATCTCTTGGTAACCCAAGCAGAGACTCCGTCCACTTCTTCACAGGATGGTTCTGCTGTTTTAGAACAGTCATGGAGAACAGAGATGTGTGGCTTAATTTTATTTTTATTTAATTAAATTTTTATTTTTGATGACAATGTTCTAGCAATATTAACAAATAAAGTTGTAGTTTGTGTAAATAATTTCACCATGGACTACTTTGGAAAAATAGTACTTTCAACTGAAAGGGAACTGAAAGTAAACTTCTGGCGGAGGGCAGAGTTAAAGTACAGAAACTTATGCACAACAGAACAGGCAGAACTGAAAAGGTGAAATTTCATTATCTGAGATTTATTTTGTGAATTAAATCATATGAACATGTTTTGTATAGCCCACAGATGGATCCTAACTTGTTCTAGGACCTCCATATTAGGTCACCTTTAACTTCAGTTCTGGTCAGATCACATCCACGTTGAGGCAAATAAGATCAAATCTGGTTACTTGTGAAATGAGACACTTTTTCCTGCTTCTCTTCTGTTGGTACATCCATAACTCAGACAGATTTTTGACCTTTTTATATGCTTTAGATAACTTATATACATTCTAGGAAATTAATATCATTAAAAGTTTTACTTATTTTTTTTTAAATTATCTACACTTAGTGCTATTTTGCCAATATGTGCAGTACTGTTAAATAAAGGTAGATCACAATGTCACCTGACCAAGACACACTTCAGCTGTACATACCTCCATTGTGCCAATTGCCTCGACTACCTGGAGTTGAGGGGACAGGAAAGGTAGACGTACACAGGAATGCTCCAAGTTGGTTTTTATTGGAAGCAAAACAAAGAAAATTGCAGGTTAAAGCCATGAATGATTGCAAATGAAAGCATTTCATTTATCATGTACTCTTGAACCCATACTGATATGTGCTGTGGCGCAGTGGTAGGGCAGCTGTTTCGGGACCAGGGAGTTTCAGGTCCACTTCCCGTCTGCATCTATATGTCTTTGAGCAAGACACCTATTCCCTAAAGTTCCATGGGTGCTTAAATAGCTGCCCACCGCTTCTCTTGGGTGTGATAGGCCAAATACGTTGAACACATTTTGTCATTGTATGCGCACGTAAATTAATGACAACACACAGCACTTTCCATTTTATCATTGCAAAGTAGTAGCAGCACTTTTTCACAAAGTTACCAAACATTTCCACCTATTATGTATTTTAGGAAATTGCAACATAAAGGACAAAGGACTGTAATTTGACACAATGTGCTTCTCTTAGCTTGAACAAACTAATTCATATCCTATAAGCGTTGTCCTGTGAATTTGATTTACTAAGCTCGTCGCTGTGCCCTTGTCTCATTTACTGTGATTGATTAATATTACAATTAAAATTCCTTGCTGTGATTGTTTTGATTAATATTCCCTGTTTGTCTCGAGGTTCCAAACCACCCATGATGACATGGAAATAAGTAAACACGTGCCGAAGAGCCGGTATGATTCTCAGAGACACAAACCCCATCGAGCCAGGATCTTTGGCGGGAGAAATAGGCAAAGAAAAAAAGGGGGGGGGGGGCAGCAAAAGCGAGGCAGCATTTCCCATATTTCTGCTGCTGATTGACAAGGCTGACATATGGAATAGTTCACCTATTCCCCAGTGACAGGAAGATGGGGGGTGGGGAGAGGCGGGTAAACTTGCCTGCGAGGCTGAGTGCATTTTTTTTCCTTTAAGATTCAGTTCTTCTGATCAAAAAGACTCATATCTCCCTTACTATATTTAGCACCAGTGGCAATTAGTGTTGGAGTCACACAGCCACTCCAGGAGTGACTGACAAATAGTACCTTAACAAGTCTGAGATGTGCGCTACAGTTTGATGGATCTGTGTGTGTACAGCTGAGGGGAACTTACTTACTTTCTGTGCGTGGTAAAT